CTTCCGATTGGTTATTCATGTCATATATAAAAGTACGTGTTTATAAGGGAGCATTTCCAAAAATGAAAAGAGGTGAAAGGGGTGCCACTGTGTTTGATTTATTTCATGAGCAATATCTCAGCAAATTCAAAAGATAATAGGCTTTTATTTTATATTCTATCTTGTCAATATCGTTAATTTGTATGAAACTACAGACTTAGTATTTTGACTTCATAAACATCTTATTTGAACCAGTGCTGCGTTCAACATACCATGTGACACACAAAAATCATGTTTATCTGTGTTTTTTAATATTTGCTTTTAAATTAAGAAATTGAGTAAGGTATAATACTAAAATTTGAATTATAATCTACAGTTTGATACCAAACTTATTGACATAAATTCATGAAATAGTAATTCAATTAAATTTTGAATGCAAGTCAACAAACGAGATGACATGACCTTTCACTTGTGACCCGTCTTGAAAGGGTTAATAGTTAAGAAGTTTCTTTTACATGGTAACAGTGGGATGTAGAAAACTAGTCTTGGTTTCCAAATATAGCTTTTGTATAATTATGTGTAATATATATATTTTAACATTTTGCAAATCATTAATGTTTCGGTAATGAACAATAAGTATCTATATATATATCTGAATTTTGCTTTTTTGACTTTATATTTTAGCTTATTTTGTCTCTGATTTTCTGTTTGGCTGAATGGTGTATGAAACTGCCATTGGCTTATCTGTTACACACCTACAATGGGGAACAAAGTATCCTTCTGACTGTATTCAAGGTAAGTTTTTAGTTATACAAATATTTTGAATATTGTGTAATAATTTGTTTATTTTTTTTACTTTCAATCCTTTAGCTGTGGTAAAGTCTCAAAAATGTTATTGGATTAGTTTCTGGGCATCATTTTAATTTCTGAAACTCATAAATTATAGAAGAACTGTAGACATTGTGTGTATTTTTTATTATTTATAATATATATAACATTCCCTGATTATGCAATTCTAGGGATTTTGAATGATTCATAGGTTCTGAAACAAGTAAAAACGTGTCTCCCATTCACAGGGCATATAGTACTGTTCAAGCTTTGTCTAAAATTGATCCATTGGCAATAACATATCTTTACCCATATGTAATTTATCCTTAAGGAAAACATTCATTAACACTCACTTACGGGCTTAGTTAACTTAGCTGAGTTTGTGACCCCAAATTGACCTTTATAGTTTTCGTACTATACCTTCTGATATGTTTTGTATATCTTTATGAAATTTTGAAAACTTTCAGTAAGTTTTTAGATCATCTGTAGATAAAATCTGAATTTTTAATGAAGTATTTTCACTAAACATTTCTCCATGAATATATCAAGTCAAAGTGTTGATTTTCATGAGGACAAAACGATTTTCATATTAAAATTAAAAATATTTTTCTTTATCTGAAAATTGTCAAATTTCATTTGCATAATCTCTAAAACTTTATATTTTATGTGTTATTTTATTTATCCTAACTCTATACGAGGTTGGTCAGTTTGACTAACCTTGTATCCACCATAAAAATATTTGAAATTAATTTAAATTACCCTTTTTTTCTTTCTAGAATGACTTCAAATTGTAACATGAAACTAAATTTATTTATCCAAAATAGCTTTAAACTTTTAACAGTATACATCTGTTTATACTTAAATTGTGTTGATTTATTGCCCTACCATGTCTAACTGATAATGCTGTCATGCAAGTTGTAAATCACATGGTAAATGTGTAACTCACATTACTCTGTTGAATTATGTAATGCATGGGCTACTCACAAGTCACTCATGAGTGTAGCTCATGAAAAGTTTCTAATTTTTATATTTTAGTTACTTTTATAATAATAAATATAAAATACACATGAAAAACAAGAAACGTGGTACTTACCTGGATCCTTGTGTATTTTTGCTGTCGACTGTCGAAGAAATTTAACCGTACTTTTTATACTACTACACTAAATAATTTTTTTATCTAATTAAATAATGCACCAAAGAACATAATAAAAACTTTTAAAAGCAGTCAATGCCATATAACTATCACAATTTTTCTGGCTTTCTAACTATATGACGAGACTCACTAAAATTCAATTAAGCTTGTCATTGTTATTCTTGTGGAATAAATTTTGAACTAAAGGCAAAAGTGAAAATTCTTTCTATATATACAAAACAAAGTAATATAATATGCCATTTTGTAGATTAAAACTTTAGCTTTCTGTTGGTTATAGGTAATGTAGATTTAAACATCAGAGGGTATAATTGTAAAAGAAGAGGTGACAGGTGGGTGTGGTAAGAGGGGTCTGATTTTCTTGTTTATGTGTCTGTAAGCAAGTAAGATTGAAGGTTATAAAAAGTATGCTTTGCTTGAGTAAAAAGAATTATATAATGAGTAATTTACATTTAATTTTCACTTCTCAGAGGTGTGGTAAATAAATTAGAGAAGAGACAAGAGAGCAAAAGTCACAATTCTCATACTAGGGGAAATTCATGATTTCTTTTTTTTTAATTGCTTTCTAAAATTAAGAATTTAAAACTGATAATAACATTTAGATTATTAGCTATGTTTTTATGCCAAGTGTATTCATATACCATGATAATAAAGTACTTTAAATTTTTAATGCAAGTCAGTAAAACTTGAGAATTAATGTTATTTTCTTTATGGGTTTATTAATGGCTATCTAATTTGGATCAGAAATTCTCTATCACTTACTAGAATAGATGTTATTGAAATGAACTGGCAGTACATTGTAGAAACTTTCAATGAAAAAAAGCATTACTTTTAACAGAGGTTAGAACTAAGTTGTTTCATTATTATGATACTTAAGTATTGTTGAACACTTTGCCTTTAATGTAAAGATATTGTGGTCTCATCAAATTATTATTACCATATTCAACAGTAAATTTAAATTGTATCATAACTTTAGCTTAACTTATATTTCAAAATATTTTACAAAGAATAAATATTTTTGAACTTTAGAAGTGAATTTTTAATTGAGAACAATTTTTTGGTACTTACTAACAGGTTTTGAATATGGCAGTATCAGGAAAGGATAGTGAAAATTTTGCTCCGTCCGCAAGCAGTCTGCTAACTCATGCTGGGTCTGATGTAGATCTTAACATTCATCTTGATAATCTAAAAGAAGGGTCTAGTCCAGCAGGCTCCGGCTCCCCTAACTCTCTATCTGTTTCCAACAGTCCTGAAAAATCAGGTTTAGGGAAGACAAGTTCTTTTCTACGTGCCTCTAGTCTTCAGCTGGCTCAGAATCAACGCAAAAATGTGATTAAGCTTGCAGCTAGAAAGGTAAAGATAAAAGGAAGGATTTTTATAGTTTTTTTTTCAGTACAGTGCTTCACAACTTAAACAATTGTACAAATAATAAATTAAGTTTTATAAAAAATGTTCATGCAAGAACTAGACACTTTAAACATTTGTACCAAGTTTCATACACTATGATTAAGCATTTTCAATACCAATGAAGTCTTTTAGCCTCTCTATGATCTGGAAGAAGTTAAACTCTTTTAATAAAACCAGTGGTGTGACTTTTGTGATATAGCCACACTACAACCACCTGAGAAATGCAGTTTTGAGCTACATTACTTTTCATCAGCTCAGCTGGATTGGTAATAAGGAGTGTTCTTCAATGACATTTTATTGAAAACCACCTCAAATTTAATTGATTTTTTTAAATTAGTTTTCTACAAATGACCTTGAGATTGTGCATCAGTCGAAACTTGTTACATCATTTATGTTACCTTTTTCTTGTATGAGGACTTTTAACTGGTTGAAAATAAACCTTTTGAATGCCATTTTAAGATAATTACTAGTAGTTAATATGGAAATGCATCTATTTGAAGTTAAAACATAGTTTATTTCTAGCTGTTTTATATACAGCCACTAATTCATTCTAGATAGAAACACATTTTTTCATAAAAGTTAGCCTTTTCATAGTTGTAACTGCATTTTTATTCTGCATAAGAGTTGTAAACTTTTTTTTTTTTAGTTCTGAGCTTTAAATAGGAAAATTGTCGATGATGTTGCTTAGATGGCTTGTGTTTCTCAACATTTTTAAAAGTTTCCCACTGTTTTTATTTTTCTCTACCATGGCAGTGAACAAATTTAAGACATTTTGAATGGTTGTTCAAAGGATAACCATTAACCAGACTTTGGTTGTCCTTCCATAATTAAAAAAACGTTACTCACAGTAATTTCAGGGTACATGTGCACACACATACACACACAAAAAAAAACTGATTAAAAGGATACATCAAATGTCTGATCGACATCAAATACTTTATTAAGATCAACTTCATTACATGAAGTGTTCTAACACAATGTTGTGTATTTCTTGTATTTTCTGTTTTGTAGGTAATGGCACACCTTGTGAACCATGTAGGTCATTTTCCCATGGGACTTGGAGCAGCCAGTATGACAAGCCTTGTAAATGAACATGATGACATTCCCTTCTTGACTGGAGATGAGCTTTCTACTGAGGTCTTTCATGCACCAAACATACAGTTTTTTGTTCTGAATAACTGTTCCATTGTCTCTCTTGTTGAGCTTCCCATGTCTGTAAGTATTAAAGTTTTTATGTAAGGTCAAATATTATGATTTTATTCAAGTGAACTTTACAGCTATGGACTAGGTTGATATGACCATGTTCATAACCATAAAGTACTCATAATAGTTTCTGAACTATGACGTTTAATACAGTATGTGTATCTTCACAAAATTTGGCAGGCTTTCAATAAACATTGAGTCTTTTGTACACAAAAAAATCAGATTTTTTTAATGAAGTATTTTTACTAAAGATTTGCCTGTAAATATATCATCTCAAAAATCTCAAATTTCATTTGCATAATCTCTAAAACCTCCAAATATATTTTGAATGTTTTTTCTTCAGTAAAACTTTATATTATATTTTATCTGTTATTTTCTGTGCCCTAACTCTAAACAAGGCTGATCAAATTAATTGGCCGCATACCCACCATAGAAAAATATGAAATAAATGTAAATTATCCATTTCTTCTTTCTAGAATAACTTCAAATTGTAACTTGAAACTACATTTGTATATTCTAAATAGCTTTAAACTTGCAACAGTATACATCTGTTTATAGTTAAATTTTATTGTTTTATTGCCCTTTGAACTATGTCTAAATAATATTAATGTATATATATTGTAAGTCACTTGGCAAATGTTATGCTATTGAATTACACAACACAAGAGAAGAGCTACTTGTGAGATTGCCTTGTGAAAAATTTTTATTATTGTTATTTTACCAATCTATGCTTATCTAACCTAACAAATTTCTAATTTTTACATTTTAGTTACTGTTATGATAATAAATAAAGAATACACATAAAAAACAAGAAATGTAGTACACACTTAGGTCGTCTTTTTTTTTTGCTTCAGACTGTTGATGACACTTAACCTTATTATTTTTATGCAAATTGTACTACTGTATTAAATGATTTTTTATTTAATTAAATAATGCACCATAGGACACAGATTAATAACTGGAAAAAGCAGACAATGTCCCATAACTATCACAATTTTCCTGGCTTTTTAACTGTGGGACTGACCTGTTAAAAATTCATCTAAGCTCATTGATATGTTTCCTGTGGGAATAATGCTTGAACTGAAATAAAAATTGACAATTCTCTGTACAGAAAACAACATAATATAATACATCACTTGATAGATTAAAACCTTGGCTTTCTATTGATTATAAATAACACAGTAGTAAAAGTCAGAAAGAATTAGTGCCAATTTCTGGAAGGGTAGATGTAACAGGTGGGTGTGGCAAAAGGGTTCTGATTTTCTATTTGATGGCTCTCTAACCAAATAAGCTTGAAGGCCATGAAAAGTATATTTTGCTTGAGTAATAACAATAGTATAATGAGTAATTTATGTTAAGACGGGATGCCTAGAGAAAATGTCACAATTCTTCTACTAGGGAAAATTCAGGAAATTTTTCAATATTGTCTCATAAAACTAATAACTTAAATCTTATATACTATTAAAACTTAGATAATTAACTACATTTTTATGCCAGATGTATTCATATATCATGATAAGAAAGTAGTTTTTAACTAAATTTTGAATGTAACTCGTTTTAAACCTTGTGATATGGGCAGAAAAAGATGCCTATAGTGAGAGGGTTAAATAAAATCCTGTTTGTTCCAGCCTTTCCATAAGGGTCAGGGTCAGAGTGTATGTTATGTTTTTATTATTATTAAACTACTATTATAGAAACACATCGACATAAATGTGGAATCAAATTGTAGTTTGTAGTTCAAGTTTTAGTATTATACATTATTTAATTTCTTAGTTCAAAATTATTAAAAAATATTTAAATATTGATTTTTTTGTGTGTCACATGTTACATTTTCTTCTGTATTTACTCAGATTGTATTGTGGGTGTTATGAAATGTAAAATCTACTGTTTTTAATGAATTAGAAGCTCAAATTACCAATATTGACAAGCTAGAATATAAAATAAGAACCTCCAACTCTTTTTTTATTTGCAGAGTTGTCAGTATATTTAGCAAATCCACCACAGTGACTCTGCCAACCTCTTCCTGTTTTTAAAATACTTATTTACCTATCTCACTTTTCTCAATTTGCATGTTTATAACCAATCGAAAACACTCATTTTGAACTACGTAATTCTGTCAGTTTTCTCTAGATACTCCCTCTTCTCTAATTTATTGGCCACCTCCGGTAACCCTTTCGAGCCGCCATGTCATCTCGTTTGTTGACTCGCATTCAAAATTTTAATGAACTACTATTTCATGAATTTATGTTAGTAAGTTTGGTATCAAATTGTAGATTATAATTCAAATTTTAGAACTATACATTACTCAATTTGTTACTTTAAAAGTAAATATTACAAAAACACAGATAAACATTGATTTTTGTGTGTCTCGTGGTATGTTGAATGCAGCACTGGTTCAAATTAGATGTTTGTGAAGTCAAAATACTAAGTCTATAGTTTCATACAAATTAGAATCTCAAATTACCGATATTGAAAAGCTAAAATATAAGATGAGAGCCTCTTATCTTTTCAGTTTGTTAAGATATTGCTCACGTAATAAATCACAGTGGCACCCCGCCCACCTTATTCCAATATTGAAAAACGCTTCCTTATATACACTTACTTCTATATATGACATGAATAACCAATCGGAAGCTCAGAATGTACACTAGTGGTTTTCTCAGGCTTTTGTAACGTTTTTTCTGCCATTTCTTTCATTTAAACAAAGATTTCAATGAGGTAGGTTGTGTCTTTAATCTGCTGAAAAATTCTCCTATGTTTTAGACCCAAATACAGCTTAGTTACTATGTTTGATAAATTATAGTAGAATTCTATGGTATTTATCTAGTAATTTATGATTTTTTAGTTATTTTTTTGTTATTGTTATTCCAATGTATATATAAAGCCTAAAAAAATATTTTGTTTCATATCCTCCAAAAATTTTTAAAGGCTTAGCAACTTACATCAACCAGCAGCCGAGTACAAAGGTCTTAATCAGAAAGATAATTGTTTGCTTTACTTCTTTATTTACTGTTCTATGTTTTAGGAAAAATATGTTTAAGAACTTATTTCAAAATAGCAATAATCTATATACATATGTAACATATAATAATTGAAATATTACTGTATTTTATAAAATACTAGTCGACTAAAACACAGCCAAGACAGGTCGCTTTGTACAGACCAAAGGTCAGTTTTATGTTATTTGATATGATAACATGAGTGCACGGCTGAAAGGTCAATATAATAAAAATAATAAATATATATAAATGTATAATGTTATGAGATTTAAGCTATTTTGCCTAAACATTTATGATTTTGTGTTCTTATTTGTGTTCATTGTAGAATGAAAGGCATAATTTTTGCTTATTTCATAATTTTTTTATGATGGTTGCAAGATCGATCAAATTTACCAAACCCGTACAGAGATTAATTACTGAAAATAACAGATAAAAGATAAAGTTTTTTCTTAAGAAATGTTTGATAACCATCCAGACATTATTAAGATTTCGCACGTGTAACTTGAAAATTTTCTGATGCATAAAAGTATTTACAAAATTTAATGTAAATTAAATTACTCATTATAATATTGTTATTGCTCAGACAAAGCATAATTTTTATAGTCTTCAATCTTATTTGGTTACAGAGCTATCAAATAGAAAATCAGACCCTTCCTCTCATGCCCACCTATCTCTTTCAGAGATTGTCAATAGTTCTCTCTGATATAACCAACAGAAAGACAAGCTCTATCAAATGACATATTATATTACATTATTTCATGTACAGAGAATTGTCAATTCCAGTTCAAACTTTATTCCCATGGGAAATGTACTGACAAGCTTAGCTGAATTTCTAATGGCTCTTGTCCCGTACTTAGAAAGCCAGAAAATTTGTGATAGTTATGGGACTCTGCTTTTTGCATGTTATCATTCTGTGTTCTTGGAACATTATTTAATTGAATACAAAAAAATTATTTAGTGCAGTAGTACCATTAGTACATTGAAAAAAATTTAAGGTTAAGTGTCATTGATAGTCAACAACAACAAAAAAAAAAGCTAGATAAGTACTTTTTCATGTGTGTTTTTATTTATTATTACGAAAGTAACTAATATGTAAAAATTGGAAGCTTTTTAGGTTAGTTAAGGTTATATTAGGTAAAATAAATAATACTAATGTAATGTGTAATATAATTCAATAGCGTAATGTGAGCTGTATGTTCACCAAGTGATTTCCAACTTATAATGGCACAAATAGTAGTTAGACATGGACAATAAAATTTTAGTATAAATAGATGTATAGTCTTTTAAGCTTAAAGCTTAAATGTAGTTTCATATCATAATTTGAAGTCGTTCTAGAAATAAAAAGAGCAATTTAGATTTGTTTACATTTTTTTGTGGTTATTAGGTTGGTTGAATTGACCTACCTTGTATAGAGTTAGAGTAGAGAAAACAACAGATAAAGTATAAAGTTTTACTGAAAAAAAAGTTAGAAATTTATTTAGAGGTTATGCAAATGAAATTTTTGAGATGAAGAAAAGTATTTTTAATCTTAAAGTTGAAATCACTTTGCACTTGGACTAGTAAAAAAAACTATATGTATTAATAGACAAATCTGTAGTAAAAATACTTCATTAAAAAATCTGATTTTTTGTGCACAAAAAGCTTGTGATGTTTACAAAAAGTGTCAAATTTTGTGAAAGTACATATAATGTGATAAAAGTTATAGTATGGAAACTATAACAAGCAAAAAATGGTTAGTAGGTTGGTTGAATCGATCAACCTCATTGTGAGAGAGTTAAAAACCTGATATTTTGTGTATGAAAGCCTTATAATGTTACTGGTAATCTTAAATTTTATGAAGATATGCATGCATTATAAAACGTTATAGTATGACTACTCTCATGGTTACTTTGGTGATTACCAATGCACCCAGACCTGTAGCCAAAAAGTTAATAATGTATAGTTCTTAAACAAAATCAACTACATTGGAGACATAATTGACCAACATTTTGACCCATCCATATGTTTAATTAACACATTCTTCTTTTTGTAGTTTGATAATATGTTGGTGTTTGATAAAATGATAAAAACCATTTTAATTGTTGGCTTTTCTATTGTCAAAGCATATTTTGCTGTTTACACATGCATTTTTGATGTGACAGTCACAATTATAAATACCAACTCTTGCAAGGTAATAAAGTACAGTTATTAAAGACTGTTTGGGGAAATTATTCTTCTTTGCATTGATCAAGTTACCCTAAGAACAAGTGGTGCTCAAGGAGTTCTTTTATTATTACAAGTATTAAATCTGTATATAGAACTTGAAGAAAATATGAAGATTATTGAATAAAAATACATTGCCTTAAAGCAGTGTGTTCATCAAATTTTATTTTATTAACCCTATTGGCACGGGTACCCTTTACTGCACATGACACAAGGTTTTAGTGCCCAACATTCAAACTTTTATTATACT